AATAAAATTTTCAAAATTGAATTCGACAGAGATGTCCGTCTTCCAAGAATATTTAGATAACGGTCATGTCAATTATTTTTCACCCCCCCTCCCCGCCTAAAAAATCAAAATGTCAATCTGAACAGGGGATGGCATTTCTTCGTGTGTTTGTGTGTTAAAGAACGTATAGATCTATGTACACATAAATTTTTTTTATTCTGGTTAATTGCTTTAAAGATTTGAAGTCAATAATTGCCGTACATCAAATTACTAGATTTGAGATTAGTACTACAATTATCAGTTATAATTGACAAATGAATTTTGCGATGCAAACCAACTGCAGACTATATACATGACTTTGTATATAATGTAAATTAGAATTACATGTAGATAGACAATTCACAATTATAGCTTATGAACAGCAGTTATAACCCCCCCCCCTTTTCAGCAGCGCAAATACCAAATAACTTCTCTTTCCACTTGTGATATTTTCCCTGACCAAAATTTGATCAGCACGGACTAGGTGTATCGACGTGCTTGTCTTTACGGAGTAATGACAGTGTGTTTACTATTGAGCTTTTACGGAGTTTATTTCTTTTTGTGATGCATTATTTCAATAAATGGAATTCAGGGTGTATATTGCTTGACTTGTGCACATCTTCGAACCAATGCAGTAACCTATTACCAGGTATGGGTATGTTTACAGCGTTCGAGGCGTTTTCTCGATATGCACCAATTGCATAGGGTCTGTAAATCAAAGACGTTGGTTGTTTTGCGCCATTCAAATGATAATAATTTCAAAATGTGTTGCAGATTTTACTGCTTTTTATTTCAAGTTTATTCTGCATAAATTGGCGAACTGTTAAAATACATACTCGTGCATCTAACTTTCTCACCAAACTTGCATTTTTCCTTTTGATTCAAATCAATAATTATTCAGAAATATGATAATTATTTTGTTTATTGTGGATTTGAAATGTCTTGATTTCCTTATGTGTTCTCATGTATGCTTTACCATCGGAGATGTGCACATGTCGACACCCAAACCAAAAAAATCATTCAGGTGTAACGAGCGCATTGGGGTATACATCGTTACAATGAGACAAGGTATCTGAGAGAAATATGGCGGAATGCGGCTATCGTTGGTATGAATCAAGTCGTACATTGATGAAAATGTTGCGTTTTTAAGAATTCATGTCAGCTTTAACCTGTATTATAGATATATAGGTATAGAAATCGACAGGTAACCATACCTGGTGTGGAGGTAATCTGTTTACCTGTATTACCGCTAACAATGCTTCTAACAGTATATAGCACCGGGCTATCAGGGCCATTTAAAAAGTTATTTAATGATTTAATAACACAGCAATAGGCCCTGCCTTTTAAATGAAGGTTTGGTTCTATGGAATTCTGCAAGAATCGCCGACCAGTGATTATGAACGGAATGAAAACAATGGATTCTGGGGGATTATTTCGGGGTGTATTGAAATAATGTAACGTATTCATTGTGGTGCCTATCAAATGTTGGTGTATATGTGTGTGTTAGAATCTGCTGATATAGTGTTAATGAAGTGTATAATGAACAAATGCAATGGATAGCTTTAAGTGAAATTGTTTTTGAAAAGTGAAATTTCGACTTGTGCATATTTTGATAGGATTGTTTTTTCATGAAGAATTAAAAATTATTCTGGAATTTCCTTGCAAAAGCTGTTTCAGTCTAGAAGAAATTTCTTGGGAGTTCTTTGTCATGATTATGTCCTCAAAGACACAAGTCTGAAATTCAAGAAATTTTGTTTACAGGAGCTCATCTCACTCTAAAAGCTAGAACATTTCGGTTTAGTCCATTTCCTGCAATTGATGAACTAAAGATTCTTTTGTTGCCGTTAATATAACGTTATTCATACGATTGTGTGATATGTAAGGATTTATTATTCGGTAAATTCTACATCCTGGTGCCAAACATAAAGAAGATGTAAGTGTATATTAGATTTAAATGCCTGTATCAGTTAATTATTAATCAGTTAATGATTGTGTAAAAACATGGGGCAGGTTCAGGCTTGATGTTTAGAGGTGGGGTGTGGAGTACGGGTAAGTCTGTAAATCTTCATCACGATGAATCGTTAGGGATTTAAGGATTTTTTTATTAAGATTCATGGGAAATGTTGAGGGGGAGGGGTGAGGGTGGGGGGTTAAACTTGGCACTCAGGGCCATTGAGCAGGGAGAAATCTTTTTTCATGTCAATTTTATTGTGACATTGGACCTTGTTTATCCAGTAAATTTCTCATCCCAAGGGCAGAATTCTACATCCCACAGTGAGATTTGAACCCAGTCTACATTGGTACACCAGACAAAGTATCAAAATTTGGTTAAGTAACTGTCAAAATTTCAGTTAACATTGGTTCTATATATTAATAAAATGGTTTGATATTTAGCATTAATTTATGGACAAATCCACGTATATTCGTATTTCACACCTTTTTATGTACCAGAGAAAGTCAAGCAAAGTTATTTAAACATTTATTGATCGATTGATGTATTGATCAATTTAAACCTCAATGAATATACATGTGTAGGTCTCCACTTTAAACTTAATGTCTCAAAAAACATTAAAAATAGGCTGGCAAAACCCAGAAGGCTTTGTATAAAAATGGAAATGAAATGTTCTCTGTCTAAATTCCAACATATGCTAAACTGAATAAAAATCATGAATGAAATAAAAAATAACCTGAATGATTTATTTAAAAGTGTTTTTGGAAATCAGCTCTAAAACAGAATTTATTAACAAATTTAGAAGTAAAGCATTTCTTTGAAGTGATTGTCAAATTAAGTTGAAGCTAGCATACATATTCATGCATTGCCAGGTATTTGTCTGAAAGGGGGGATATGCCAAAAAAAGGAAGAAGTTCAATAAATGAAAATTGGTTCTTCTGTTGTGATTGTTGAACATAAGTTAAGGTTTTCCTTTCACTTTTGTGCTAGCCTTTGTTGCTGTTTTGTGTATTGGCTTATAATAGGCATTTAAAATTCCATTTTAAAATTTCTTATATGTTCCACGAGAAAGAGCGGTGCATGTTGTTACACGAAAATTAGAAAGTCTGATAATAAAAATGAAAATGTACCATATTTTTTAAATTAATTAAGATAAAAATACATTGAAATTTATCATTGTTTTTAAAAAAGATGATTTTAAAAGAAGGAATTTAAATAATTGTTATTGAAAAATCAAAACAGTGAAGTAATGAAAATTGAAACCTGATTTCTATAAGTTTCATGAAAATAATTTTTTTTTTTTATCCTGAGCCCAAACTTAGTTTATAGCACTTAAGGCATAAAAATCTCTTAAATGATGATTTTTTTTGGGGTGGGGGGGGGGGGGGGGGGGGCAAGGGTGTTGTTGTTCCTAAGAGCAAGTGCCATCTTATGCATAAAATGGCCCTGTACTTATATCGATGAATTAACTATCGATCACCCATATCAAAATGAAGTAGACACTTGGTGCTTTCATTTTCTATAATAAAATTTCATTTTGAGAATCCAGATATTGGAAAACAGGTTTGAAAAATTGCAATGTGATAAATACTGCATTTTTAACCTAAACTGATTGGTTTTGATTTTTCAGAAATTCTTATGGCCAAATAAGGCCCAACGCGGCTCTTGCTCTTTGCACTATTATATCTGATTATGGCCATGCAGAGACAGGAAATAAAAGAAGCATGCAATGTTTATGCGTTTGTGATTTGGGGTTTTTTTGTTTTCCGTGTTTCAAATTATTATGATTGCTTTCTGAATATGTGAAAAAATAATTCTGTGAGTAATGAAAAGGAGATTGGGATGTATATGGTGGGAGCTAAAGGAAGAATGAATTCTAGTTCCTTGTAATAATCTTGACTACTGCAGATAACTATCACCTCTGTCCAGCTGTTGACAAGCAGCACATTCAATATTTCACCTCATTAACATTAGATAATTGATACATGGGCATTTAAATCTGTGATTAAATTTTTCTTTAAAGTTAAGGCTCACCGTCTCTCTGTTCATGAATTTAAAATTTTGCGGTATCACTTAGAAGTTTTCAAAAAAAAAAAAAATTAGAATTAAAAGAGTAACCTATCAAATGAAAATTAACACAATACTAGAATACCTTCCAGGCCAAAAAAAAAATTAGAAATAGCACTAAAATTTTCTTGACAAATATAAACTTAAGGAACAATAATCATTTACTTAGCAAGAGTTATCTCTCCTAGCAATGGGCTAGTGAACCTTAATCATTCAACAATACTGTCACTGCAGCACTAGTATTCTTAACATTATCAGCTGATTGAATTTCACAAAATATTGACTTTTAAGGAGTTAATAGATAAACACAAGTTAGTTAACTGATCGCATTCCAAGCTGTAGATAATTCTATTGAGTTAAGATAGTTCTATTGAGTGTAGATAATTTTTTGAGTGTTCCTGGTGCAGTATGAACTGCTGCTTAGTGAATAGAATTTAGATTTCAGTGCTGTTTACCATAGAATTTTAAAATACCTGTACTCCAAAATCAAAAAAATACTTCCGCAACACATTGATTCATTGTGGGTCCCAGTACAGTAGAATGGGCTGTAAATCTTTAGATGCATGGAGGTGTAATTGTTTGCCTTTGAATGAAATACTATAACTTACAATGATAACATTTTTGTTATGATGAAGATAAAAAAAATGAATCCAAGAATTTTTCACAGAGGGTTGGGCCCATGTCTTGATGGATAATTTCAAACAATTTTATTTTCAATTTCTTCCGATTTTGGCAGAGTTTTGATATGATTCCTAGATGATTTTAGTCAGTACTGAACTGGGGACCCTGACAATTGAAAAACAACTAGGAGGCGCTTATAGGGGCAGGGGTGGTAAATAGGGATTATACGATACCTTATGTGTGTTTGTGAGTACCAATAAGACAAATTAACTTTTGCCTCAAGCGTAATGGCATGATATAAGTATTTATGAGGGACACTACTATGTTAAATTTTTTTTTGCAGAAACAAGAGAGAGAATTACAAGAAGAAAGCAATGCATCTGTGAATCTCCCAGAATACTCCTCTGAAAATTACCCACAATCCTCCTCTGAAAATTACCCACAACCCTCTACTGTCACTTTGGATGATGATTCGCTGAGTAAGTCTACAGAGACGGCCAGTACGGTGATCGATGCCCAGAAGAATGTCAGACCGGAGAAGAAAAGTTCCGAGGACGTGGGCGACAAAACCGACGACGAAATAGACGCGGGCGACAAAACCGACGACGAATTAGAGGAGATGGAATCGGAGGCGCACGAAGAAGGCGGGAAACCCACCACAATGGAGGCAGTAAGTTGTGTTGAAATCTGGGAGGATTTTTTTTTATTTCGTGGAGAGGGGTGGGTTACAGGGAAAACGCGTATTTAATGGCAAAAACAAATTAGAGAAAGGGCAATAGAAAACAGGGGTTGGAAAAGGGGGATCGTCAATTTTTTGGTGCTTTCTATTGTTTCATATTTAACAATTGATTAAGTTTAAATTGAAGAAGTTTTATATTCAAAAGATGGTGTCCTTATCCTCATCTATCTTGGCCAGCATGAGAATAAAAAATGAAAGCCATTTGATGATCATATGCATTGGTGACTCTATCTCACCAAGTTCTGTCTTTTTTTCTGAAATGGGAAAATATTTGATGTTTTTAGGTTTCGAGACAGGACACTCTTAAGGAGAGTGAAGATTTCGAAGAGGTCAGCGAGAGTAGCTCACCAGAGACAAGCGAGTCTCAGTCAGCAGTCGCCGTGAGTCAACTCATGGGCACCATCAATCTTGCCAAACAGGAGACGTTCATGAAACTCAAACAAGAGTACGAGACCAAAATCACTAAACTCACAGACGACCTAGAACAGGCCATGATCCTAAATGACGAACGTGAGAAATGCATCGATGATATAACGGACAAATATGAGGCTAAAATCGAAGAAATGAGACGGCACTATGAGATGAGAATTAAAGAACTCGAGGAATCCGATGTAGATATTGAAGAGATCAAAGATAAAGTGAAAGTAGAATTTGTGAAAAATTATGAGGCGGAGTTAGCACGAGTGCATGTTGAGTACGAAGAGAAAATGGATCTGTTACGACAAGAGATGCAGGAAAGTTACGACTCAGAGAAACAGGAAATGGAAAAAAGACATAAAAAGGAACTGGAGGCCTCGGAAGAGAAATATGACACACTTATAGACAGTAAGTAAAAATACATTGATTTAGTAAGTGTACACATATATAACCAAGTAAACTCAATCGATATGTGGTTCTCAAGTTTAATATACCTAGTTAATATTTAGTTAACCTCTAGTCCTTTATTTGTTTAGTTATCCCTGAGTTATTTTTTACGCTGTTTAGTTATCCCTGAGTTATTTTTTACGCTGTTTAGTTATCCCTGAGTTATTTTTTACGCTGTTTAGTTATCCCTGAGTTATTTTTTACGCTGTTTAGTTATCCCTGAGTTATTTCTTACGCTGTTTAGTTATCCCTGAGTTATTTTTTACGCTGTTTAGTTATCCCTGAGTTATTTTTTACGCTGTTTAGTTATTCCTGAGTTATTTTTTACGCTGTTTAGTTATCCCTGAGTTATTTTTTACGCTGTTTAGTTATCCCTGAGTTATTTTTTACGCTGTTTAGTTATCCCTGAGTTATTTTTTACGCTGTTTAGTTATCCCTGAGTTATTTTTTACGCTGCTGTTACAGGGATCCGTGGCGGTGATGCTCCTGAGGTAGCGGATCTCGTGAGAGACAGAATCGACGCGGAACTCGAGATGGCTAAGTCACTCATGGAGCAGGAGTTCGAGGAAACCATTGAATCGGAACAGGTAAGTTGTCTTCTTTGTTCTCATGTATAGCATTCTGAACAGGTCAGTTGTCTTTTAGGAGTTTTTGATTGTAAGTATAGTATCTTTAAAATATTTGATACTGTTCATGTAGATTGGCAATAGGTTTTAATTTCGCTGTGTTCGCAATTTATCAATTTATCATTTTCTTCCACAATTAAGCTCATCATGAATGTTATTAGTTTTTCAAAACGTTTTGAGATATTGTGAAATATTAACACTGTGGAATTAAATTGACTTACAGTAGTCAGTCGTCTTCTTAGTTCTTATGTACATCAGTCTTTCTATGTATGGTATGTAAATATAGGATGTGATTGTTTATTTACCATTTTCTGATCCCATCTCTGATGATTTGGAGATATGTGTTTGCTCTGCTTCTGTTTTGTACTGTTAAATGGACTTCTGATCTTGAACCCTGTTTGTTATCTCCATATTGTTCATTCTGAGAGATTTTCTTATTTTATTTTAAGGCACGATTTCAAGAAGAGAAGGAGAAAGAGATAAACGATTTACACGCACAACACGACAAAGAAATGGTAGAAGCACGACAAACTCTAACAGAGGAATTTCAGGCTAAGCTGGAGGAGATGGAGAGTAAGTACAGCAAGGAGATGGAGACTCTGCAGAGCCAGATAGAGACTGGAATGCACCAGAATCTCGCGACAGAGTACGAGATCCAGGAATATCAGGATAAAATTCACGAACTCGAGACCGAGCTAGAAAAATTTGTGAAAGAGAGTGAATCCAGCGACGAGAAATCGTCCAAGCGTATAGTGGATGAGTCTGGTGTCATGGTGTCTGCCTCGAGTGAATTCGACACGGATGGAGAAACAAAGGATTCTGGGAAGGGGACTATAAATAAGGGAGTGGATCAAACAGATTCTAGTGGAGGATTTCAAGTTAGTGAGGTTTGTGAAGAAACTAGTGAAACTGGAGGAGAGGATCTAAGAGATTCAGGGGGGTTAGTTGTAGATCAGTCGGTGAAGGATTATGAAAGTGAAAGTGAAAGTGGGAAGGAGGAGTTGACTCGGCGAGACTCCAGTGCTGATTTAGACAACTCGCTCCAGAACCTTAAAGGCTCGCATGCTGCTGCTATAGCTGAAATAGAAGAGGAGTATAACTCCAAGCTGGCCAGTCTGAAAGCAGGTAAGGGCAGTCTTCATATAGTTTTATATTTAATAATTTACCTCATAATAATGTATTTATATATATATTGACTAAAGCAGGTGAAGGCTAGGAAGGAATTTTCACTTAATGTAATAATTGTTTTTTATGATAATCTTTTATTAGCTCACCTGAGCCGAAGGCTCAAGTGAGCTTTTCTGATCACATTTTGTCCGTCGTCCGTCCGTCTGTCCGTCTGTCTGTCCGTCTGTAAACTTTCACATTTTCGACTTCTTCTCAAGAACCACCAGGCCAATTTTGACCAAACTTGATACAAAGCATCCTTGGGTGAAGGGGAATATAAATTGTTAAAATGAAGGGACATATCCCCTCGCAAGGGGAGATAATTGAGAAAAGGCAAAAATAGGGTTGGGTCATTAAAAAATCTTCTTCTCAAGAACCACTGGGCCAGTAAAGCTGAAACTTATGTGGAAGCATCTTGGGGTAGTGTAGATTCTAAATTGTTCAAATCATGACCCCCGGGGGAAGGGCGGGGCCACAATGGGGAATCAAAGTTTTACATAGAAATATATAGGAAAAATCTTTGAAAATCTTCTTCTCAAGAACCACTGGGCCAGAAAAGCTGAAACTTATGTGGAAGCATCCTGGTATAATGTAGATTCTAAATTGTTCAAATCATGACCCCCGGGGGAAGGGCAGGGCCACAATGGGGAATCAAAGTTTTAAATATAAATTTTGGAAAAATCTTAGAAAATCTACTTCTCAAGAACCACTGGGCAAGAAAAGCTGAAACTTATGTGGAAGCATCCTGGTATAATGTAGATTCTAAATTGTTCAAATCATGACCCCCGGGGGAAGGGCGGGGCCACAATGGGGAATCAAAGTTTTACATAGAAATATATAGGAAAAATCTTTGAAAATCTTCTTCTCAAGAACCACTGGGCCAGAAAAGCTGAAACTTATGTGGAAGCATCCTGGTATAATGTAGATTCTAAATTGTTCAAATCATGACCCCCGGGGAAAGGGCGAGGCCACAATGGGGAATCAAAGTTTTACATAGAAATATATAGGAAAAATCTTTGAAAATCTTCTTCTCAAGAACCACTGGGCCAGAAAAGCTGAAACTTATGTGGAAGCATCCTGGTATAATGTAGATTCTAAATTGTTCAAATCATGACCCCTGGGGGAAGGGCGGGGCCACAATGGGGAATCAAAGTTTTACATAGAAATATATAGGAAAAATCTTTGAAAATCTTCTTCTCAAGAACCACTGGGCCAGTAAAGCTGAAACTTATGTGGAAGCATCCTGGTATAATGTAGATTCTAAATTATTCAAATCATCACCCCCGGGGGAAGGGTGGGGCCACAATGGGGAATAAAAGTTTTACATAGATATATTTTGGAAAAATCTTTGAAAATCTTCTTCTCAAGAACCATTGGGCCAGAAAAAGTGAAGCTTATGTGGAAGCATTCTTGGGTAGTGTTAATTCTAAATTGTAGGAATCATGACCCCAAGGGGAAGGGCGGGGCCATTATAGGGAATCAAAGTTTTACATAGAAATATATGGGGAAAATCTTTGAAAATCTATTTCTCAGGAACCACTGGGCCAGAAAAGCTGAAACATATGTGCCCATGGAAGGATCATAGGGTAGTGTAGATTTCAAAATGTCTAAATTATGATCAGTGGGGTAGGGTGGTGATGCATTATGAATAACAAGGGGGAAATCTTCTAAAGAACAGAATGGTCAACGCTTCTCAGGTGAGCGATGTGGCCCATGGGCCTCTTGTTATAATAGTTTTGGAGGTGTAAGGTCTAGTGCATATATACTTAATTTTTAATCTTGATACGAGGAATATACATCACCTTTAAGAATCAGAATAAGGCTTTACCATTGAAACAATTAATGTAATTGTTTAGGCCAGAAACTTTGCGCTTTCCAGATTTCTAGAATTTGTTATCAATGTTGAGTAAACGCTAATGTAAAACTTTTTATATTGAAACAGTCAGGACTTCAGTTCACTTTGAATATGTGGTGTTGAAGAGGATGCTTTAATCATGTTAATTTAGACAGTTATTTGACAGTTATTCACATTTAGCTTATCATAGCTTGAAAAACCTAAGTCTGAGAATAAGTTCTTTAGCATGTTTAGTATATTAGTTATCCAGTGCTTCAAATATTTTGCAAAAATTCAAAGTAAACATGGTAAAGGAACAAAGAAAAGGAAATTCAGTTTATTAGAACTTGAACTCTATTATCATGATTATATTAGAAGTCTATTTAATTTTGGATGCAACATGCAGGCTTTGATGAAATTCTCCCTCGGCCGTGTTAGCCTTAGTTTAACAGGATTAAGGGATTAAGTCCCTGTGTCTGTGTGGCCCAGAGTGAATTCACCTGCATGGTGTTGATTTCTGACCAGCACCTGAACCTGTTACAGTCACATTTCTTTGGCCCGGTTCCTGTTAAAGTCTTTTTGGTCTGATTAAGAAATGTGAAATGGGTTACTCTTTTTACATTTTAGCATATTTAATTCATTTGACATTTGACAATTTATTTACCAGCTGGCTTATAAATCATAATTATGAAATCTAAGAACAAACGTGATAACCATGATCAATGAAAACTTTCAGTTTTTAACCAGGTTAGGTTTTTTGTTTGACATTAATTAAAAAATGTGTACTTAAAGGTAATACACATATGATGCATATTAAGCTCAAGTTATCCATCCGACAGGCTTTATTAGCTCACCTGAGCCGAAGGCTCAAGTGAGCTTTTCTGATCACATTGTGTCCGTCGTCCGTCCGTCTGTCCGTCTGTCCGTCCGTAAACTTTTCACATTTTCGACTTCTTCTCAAGAACCACTGGGCCAATTTTGACCAAACTTGGTACAAAGCATCCTTTGGTAAAGGGGAATTTAAATTGTTAAAATGAAGGGACATGTCCCCTCGCAAGGGGAGATAACTAAGAAAAGAGAAAAATAGGGTTGGGTCATTAAAAAATCTTCTTCTCAAGAACCACTGGGCCAGTAAAGCTGAAACTTATGTGGAAGCATCCTGGGGTAGTGTAGATTCTAAATTGTTCAAATCATGACCCCCGGGGGAAGGGCGGGGCCACAATGGGGAATCAAAGTTTTATATAGAAATATATAGGAAAAATCTTTAAAAATCTTCTTCTCAAGAACCACTGGACCAGAAAAGCTGAAACTTATGTGGAAACATCCTGGTATAATGTTGATTCTAAATTGTTCAAATGAAAACCCCTGGGGGAAGGGCGGGGCCACAAAGGGGAATCAAAGTTTTATAATATATAGGAAAAAATCTTTGAAAATCTTCTTCTCAAGAACCACTGGGCCAGAAAAGCTGAAACTTATGTGGAAGCATCCTGGTATAATGTTGATTCTAAATTGTTCAAATAATGACCCCCGGGGGAAGTGCGGGGCCACAATGGGGAATCAAAATTTTATATAGAAATATATAGGAAAAATCTTTGAAAATCTTCTTCTCAAGAACCACTGGGCCAGAAAAAGTGAAGCTTATGTGGAAGCATTCTGGGTAGTTTAAATTCTAAATTGTAGGAATATTGACCCCCGGAGGAAGGGCGGGGCCATTATAGGGTAATCAAAGTTTTACACAAAATATATAGGGAAAATCTTTGAAAATCTTCTTCTCAGGAACCAGTGGGCCAAAAAAGCTAAAACATATGTGCCAATGGAAGGATTATGGGGTAGTGTAGATTTCAAAATGTCTAAATTATGATTTATCAGTGGGGTAGGGTGGGGTATAACAAGTGGGAAATCTGGTAAAGAACAGAATGGTCAAAGCTTCTCAGGTGAGCGATGTGGCCCATGGGCCTCTTGTTTATTGTGCAATGTCTATATGACCATGATGACGCAACCTTTTTCTACAATTTCTTGTCATGCCTTCTGTATGATTGGGTGAGACACATAGTGTATATAAAGTATATACAGTGTACATACTATATATAGTGTGGAGTTTATATCTCATTTATCATGAGTGTGCTGTGTAATACCATTGAGCTTGTCTCGCTATCATCCTCTGTTTTTTTGCCTTTCATCTTGTCTCACTCCAAGGGTTAGAAAAGGACTATCAGGATAGACTCTGCCAAATAAAGAAAGGTGAGAGGCCCCGCCCACTTCCTGTGTAACCATGGAGACCACAAACTAATTCCCAGCATGCAGTTTCTAGCTCAGTAGAATGTTTCATTAACCAACTATTATCTCTTTTATCCAGAAAACATTTTCTCATATTTTTTTCTCTTTGGTAACAACTAACAAACCTTTACCACAAAGTAATTAGTAATTAATCCCCTGCATGTTTTTTCTTTACAATGGTAACTTCTTGAAAACATGGTAACTTTTAACCAATCCCCTGCATGCATTTTCATCACCATGGTAACTTTTTGAAACCATGGTAACTTTTAATCAATCCCCTGTATGCATTTTCCCAACCATAGTTTCACTTCTTAAATCCATGGTAACTTTGAACAAATCCCCTGTATGTAATTTCTTTGTAACCATGATAACTTTTAACCAATTGCAATCCCCTGTTTCATATTTCATTACAGTGGTTACTTTTATGTGGTTCCCCTGCATGTTTTCTCTATACCATAGTTACTGTTAACCAATCCCTGGCATGCTTATCATTACAATAGTGACATTTAACAAATTCCCTGCATGCATATTCTTTACTTTGGTTTCTATTAACCAATCCCTTGCATGCAACAAATCCCATGCTTGATTAGATTGTTAGCTGTAGTTTAGATTCATTAGAATAAGTATTGTTTAATAGATTTTCATATGCATGACAGTCAGTAATTACTAACAAAGTAATACATAAACTTCTGCTTTAATCTTTTTTTTCTAGTCTTATGGAAAATACTTACTGCTCTGACTAATTTAGAATGAGTTTTCCATTTTGCTTTTTTTCTCATACTGACTTGTACAAAACCTTGAAAAATCTTGCAATACATTCTTCCAGAGCTCTCTAGCACCAAAAGTTCACTGACTGGAGAGGTCACACAAGGTCAAGGTCAGGGACCAGAGAAGGATGACCTTGACATAGCACACACGGAGGAGCTACATGACCTT